ATTTTCAATGTTTCAGAAGCTGAAATAGACATGCCACACGGGGCTTAGCCTTCATGTTCTCTGTGTTTAAGATTATTCAGTCCATTTTTACAGCAGTGTAAGGCTTTTTTTTTTTTTTTTTGTGGAATTGGGGACTGACCTCAGTCCCATGCGCTTGCCAGGGAAGCTCTTATTCCACGGAGCCATCTCCCCAACCCTGCAGCAGTAAAAGGTTTGCAGGTGTTGTCTTTATGCTGTTGGCAAATACACATAAGGACAGACCTTGAGATTTTTCTGCAGCAGCATCCCAGTGTGCTGTTAATTGCTGTGTCAGTGATGGGAGAGGTTGGTTGGGGCTGGGCAATGGCAGCTTCCAAAGTCCACCGAGGTGTGGCCAAGCAGTTGGTTTGCACTGTTGTCTAGGAAGTCATCCTTCATGCTAAGCCTTTTGTCAGCCTTTTCAGTTATTTTGAATACCTCCATTTCTCCATGACAAATCTTCCTTCTACAGCAGCTGGCTGATTGCTGGAATAAATCCCGGCTGACTTGTAAATTCTTGTTGGAAAAAATTCTACTGATGTAAAGAAATGACTTTGCGTTTTAGTGGTAGGAAGTGGATGATGAGCAGATGAGTGCTGCCATTTTAAATGCAATAATGAAGAAATGTTTCACTCCTAGAGTGACTTTTGACCTGCATATCTATTATAGCCATTGTATGAAAGGCCTTGGTGGAGTTGTGTTAAGCAGCATCCATTTAACCTGAATAGCAATTGCCATCTCAAAGCAGTTGCCCGTTACAAACATGGCAGAAATAAAGCTTCAATCGGACCTCCAGTGCCCTCACTAAAGATGGCTACAGCACTTCCTGTGTTTGCCACCAACAAAGATGGCGGCCATACTTCCTGTTTAGGGTGTTCGCCTTCAACAAAGATGGTGCTTATGCTTCAGATTCCCTAACAGTCTGGATTCCGGTTGTAGTTTTTTTTTTTTTTTTAAAAGATACGTGGTTGCAGACGTAAGTAACAGGAGTCCATCTTTTCTCGAAAGCCGGGTCCTCGGGCTCTTTCGCCCCCCTAATTTGCTGGAGTCTCCGAGTCGGCCCAGGGTTGGGGCGGCGGTGCTGGGGACCCGTTCGCCCCTCGGTCCGCAATGAAGCTCATTCCGCGGAGCAAGTTGCCCCGAAAATCTCTCCTCCTTCTTCCCTTTTGTGGCATGTCAGAGGTCGCAGCTGCCCAGGAAGGGAATTTCAGAAAAGTTCCCAGCGGGTGCCGAGATCCAAATGTGGCCCCCTCCCCCGCTCCTGCCACCTCGGGTCTTTAGAGAGGGCTGTGAGGATGCGGGCTCAGGTGTCACTTAGCTGCAGGTGGCCCAGACCCATCTGTCACCCCTCGGTCCCGCCCTGTTTCTTAACCTTGGTTTACAGTGTACTGTGCCCCACTCACTAGAGACCTTTACGTGCCGCATGGCAGCCCACCGGGGCTGTGCTGTGGCTTTTTTTTTCCAGGAAAAAAACCCATTAAATGTCTCATACATGTGTGACCACGACTGCCTTGTGATGGAGATTCCGAATTCTTAAGAGAGAAGGACCGATCTGTGACTATCTATAAGGTTTATTGCAGATTGGACACAACCGATATTTTTCTGAAAGTGACAAAGAGGCATTTTCCCACAGTAGAAAAGGATTTTAGGTACAGTGGTACCTCTGCTTTCTGTCCTCCACCCCCATTATGGCCAGTTTCTGTGGTCGCTTGTGGCCATAATAGCAGTTTATGCAACCACAGAAGCAGGGCATCTCTGGTGAAGGTAATGTTAAAATAAAATCGTTTCTTCTCCCTTAGGCTAAAGCGAACTGCTGCTCTGGAATCCTCAGATAAAATTGCTTTTTAAAGCAATGTCCCTGACCACTGTTTTGATCAAAACTTTGTTGAACAAGGAATTGAGCTAGGATATAATGGCATGAGAAGAAGAGACTGAAACACTGATTCATGTTGATTCTGTTTAGAAGATTTGAAATTCACTTGGCTTGGCTTAACCAGCCTGTATAAACACCTGTGGCCTGACATGCTGTTAAGGTTCAAAGATCTGCCTGACCTTGAGGTACTCAGGGCAGTGACCCTATCCTCAGAGGTGCCGCAGAATTCCTGTCACCTGAGCTGTGATTTTGTCTCTTTCCAGGGAGAAATGGAGGCCAGAGACAAACAAGTGCTCCGCTCCCTTCGCCTGGAGCTAGGAGCCCAAGTGTTGGTGGAGGGCTTGGTTCTTCAGTACCTTTACCAGGAAGGAATCTTGACAGAACACCACGTTCAAGAAATCAAAGCTCAAACCACAGGCCTGCGGAAGACAATGCTGCTGCTGGATATTTTGCCTTCCAGGGGTCCTAAAGCCTTTGATACCTTTCTAGATTCTCTACAAGAATTTCCCTGGGTACGGGAAAAGCTGGAGAAGGCAAGGGAAGAAGCCGTCTCTGAGCTGCCTCAAGGTAGGCCTCAAAAAGATCAAAAAGCATTCAAATTGTTGGAGCTGTGCCCTTTGGATTAAAAGTTGAGGTTTTAGGCTGGGCAGGTGTCTGCAGTTTGTGGAAGTGGGTGAGGGCTGAGGACGGAAGGGACGTGTGGTTGAAGGGACAGCATGAGGTGGCATTGGGAAATGCAGGGAAAGGAGGAAGCGTAAACCATGACTGGGAGGTCGAGGAGGGAGCTCAGAGTACATTTAGAAATGCTTCCAGGGAAACTTGGCAAGTCATTTCGGAGGCATGTTCTCTTCAGAGAGCTAGGTCAGATCTCAGCCCTTGGCATGCGGGGGCATTTGGAAAGTGTAGATGGGAAAGCAGGTTTTGGCTTCCTGATAACTGATTTGTGGGGTGCCAGAACTGCCAGCTGGAACAGCTCTCTTCATGGAGGAGGAGACAGCCTCAAGGAAGACATGCCCTGCACCTGTCCCGGGCCTGGCCTCCGAGGCTACAGGGGATTATTTTGAAGACTGACTTAGTTTGTTTTGAAAGGCTATTGATGTAGAGTGTTCTTTTTAGTTTGGTTTTGTTCAAACACTTGGAGTATTTAATTTTGTAAGAGTATTGGTTTGGGGAGATTCTTGTTTTGATTTAATGGAGAATTGGAAGCTATGGAAAAGAGAAATAGTTTTGGTGTGGTCCTGTTTGCTTGACTTGTGTCAGAAAGATGTGGTATGGAACACTGGTCCTCTTCCAACAGTTATAGTGACTTTTGTTTTTTAATTAATAATTTGATGCAGAGTCTCACTATACAGCTTGGACTCTTAATGATCCTCCTGTCTCAGCCTCCCCAGTGCTGGGATTATAGGCATGTGCCACCACTCCTGATTGCTATGTTGAGTTCTGTTTTTTGGAAAATATTGAAGTGCAGAGAACTAAACTAGCAAAAATGTTTAAAAGATGATAATTAAAAGTTGACTTGCAAGGCCAGGCATGGTGGTGCTTGCCTGTAATCCCAGTGCTGAGGAGGCTGAAAACAGGAGGAGTACTACAAGTTCTACAAGTCTAAACTGCATAGTGAGACCCTGTACCAAATACATAAAATTATAAAAAAAATTAACTTGCAAATTTTTAACAAAATTAAGAGGTATCTTAAGGAGATTAAAATGGGGTCACACTTCTATGAATGCTATAGAATAGTATTATTTCTGTCACCCATATAATTAAGTGGTGTGTGTGTGTGTGTGTGTGTGTGTGTTGCTGAACACTGACCTCAGGTCCTTTGCAATGAGCTATATCCCCAGTCCTTTTTATTTATTTTGAGACAGTGTCCTACTAGGTTGCTAATTTGCCCATGTGGGGTTGAACTTGGAATCCCCTAACCTGTGAGCACTAGGATCACAGGCATGTGTGTCCTCACCAAGTTTAAATTGTTCTGCTAGTGACAGGCTTTTAGTTCACCTGTTTTGTTGTCCCTAAGTATGTATTGTTGCCAGGAGGACCTTGAAGACAAACACTAGGAGAACACTAAGCATTTTTTAACCTCTTTTCAGTTCAGTGTTATGTATTCTGCTTTCAGTAATGTGCTAGAAATGTCTCACATATGTTAACATGGCTTTGTTCAGACATGTGGAGTGTTTAATTTTATAAAGCTAATCCAAGCTGAGTTGACAGGGTTTCTTTAGCAGAGTTAGGAAATCAGCATTCTTTGGAGTTTCTGATGAAGTGATAGGAGTACTTCAAGTTGTTCATTTTCAGGCTTTCTTGTCACTGTTTTTGGAATAGTTGGCTAAAGACAAAACAACACACACACACACACACACACACACACACATAAAAACAACCCACCAAAAAATAAGAACACAACTAAATGCCACTAAAAAGAAATGACTTTTCTTAGTTTTGTCTCATAGACCTTATGTTTGAATGATTTTTTTCAAACCATATAGATTAAGTAATTATAATTAATTCTATTTCCATTAAGTCTCAGTATCTGATCAGCTTGAGATAACCAATTTATTCAGAAAGACCTGGTAAAATCCCAGTGGAAAAAGCAAACGTATTTTTTATTCCTATTCTTGGCTGACTCACAGCATCGAACCACGTAGGTATGGTTCAGGTTTTCTGAATTGCTGAAGAGGTCCGACCTTTCAGGAGCACTAGACCTTTTAGCTTGGATTGCCATTACAATAGTAAACACTACATGCCTGAAGAAAACCAAGCTAAATTATGTAAGAAGCTGCCTCTACTTTACTGAAAGCAGAACACAGAACACAGAATTGGGGAGAAGTTGAGAAATTATCGGTGCTTTCCTGGTATTTTACTTAGCTGCTGCCGGCATGTGGTTGGGAACAACAAAACAGTAAAACTAAGAGCCTGTCACTGTCACAGTTCTTCATTTACTTATATGATCATTTCGGATAGTGTAAATAGTACTGTGCTGAGTCACGCTTAGAAGTGTGACCTCACTTTCTGGCCTTCAGATTCATTTAGAAAGTGGGAAAAACTTAAAACTTTTTGCCATATGGCGAAAGTTACAGAGAAACTGAGGGATTTTTTTTTTAAAACCTTTTATTAATAATGCTTGCAATACATGATGAATACATTTCTGTAGCAGTACATATATTCATTATGTACCACAAACAAATGCTAAGAAAAAACAAGGAGAATGAAGCTGTATATAGCAGGGAAATTAGAAAAATCAGGGTTTCCCCAGGATTTGTTAATTCTGAACAAAGGATCGATGGAAAGACAGGTTGGCTCTGGAACAAATGAAGTACTTTCGTTTTACCTTTTATTGAGTAGCACTGCTATCAAAAAAATACTCAGGGGCTGGAGAGGTGGCTCAGTGGTCTAAAGCACCTACTTGGAACAAACTTGGCAAAGCAGAGGGACCGCGGTTCAATCCCCCAGCACCACATGCCAGCCGGCCCCGCCCCCTGGTGGGCTGAGCTGGCCACACACACACACACACACACACACACACACACACAGAATAAATAAATAAAAATAAAAAAAAATACTCAGAAGCAAAGCTTTGGCTAATGTATGTCTCTGTATAGCTTCCCTGATGACAATTACATAACTCATTTAACTGGTTCTTACTCAGTACTACTTTCATTGTACAAGATAGAGGTAAGGTGGGAGAATCATGGAGCAGCCGCCACCCGTGTCCTTGTTGCTCAGTTTAAAAGACATAATATTAGCGTTGACTTTGCAGAGCCACTCATGCCTGGCCCTCACTTGCTGGTAAATTCTGAATCTGGGATTTATCACTTTTTTCTTCTTCACTCTGCAGTTTTCTATCTCATAAAAGCTGCGTTTGAAATCCATACATTAGGCTACAATGTTGCTCACTGCTAGGGGCTTGCCTGTGATGAACAAGGCTCCAGGTTCCATGCCCAGAACTGAAAATAAAAATCGAAACCAAAACAATCCACATGTTATTAAAAATCTAGTATGCCACGGTTTCTGGTAGCAAATGGTTTCTACTGGTAAATGTCTGCGTGTATAAAGTATGTGTAGGAGGTGAGGGATGAAAGAAGTGATTTAAGGGACTTGATAATTAATAGTCTTGTCTTGTTTTGGACCTTAACATTTTGAAGGATTTAAAGTAATTAATTGCGTGGCAAATATTTTAATTCTAAAAAGGGGCTCTAACAAGTTGGAAACCTAGGTGTTTTTTTTTTTTTTTTTTTTTTTTTTTTTTTGTTGCTGCTGTTGAAATTCTGGACAAGTGTCAGAGTTGAAGTACCTTCCAATTTAATATGCCTACAGAAAGCAAACAAGCCCAGAGCCTGTTTCTTAGGACCCTGTTACTTCTCTAGCATGATTGTAATTTTAATAAACTTTGCATTAGTCTGCTTTGGTAAAGGCATCTTGAAATTCTGAGGGATGGTTAGTAGTGGCCTTCTGTCTGTGGGTGTGCGTAGGGTAATGTCTTATCTCATACTCTTATCTGTGGATTTGGGGGCCTTCTGGGAAGCCTAGAGAACAGCTAGGAGTGGGCTTCTCTTCAGCTAAGCATTTAATCCTTCTCTGAGACTGAAACAGTTTTATTTTCATAAAGTTTTCTTGATTTGTTCTTCTTGCAGATTCTTAGTTTTCCCCTTTGTTTAATTTTTGTATTTTATTTGTAAAATTTGAGCTGACTCAGAGGTTTGATTTGGATGATCCTTGTTAGCTGCTCTTGACTTGCATCCTGGATGTAATTTTTTAGAGAATTGAATTCTGTCTTATTCTCTACTTTTCTAAATCCTCCCACCAGCAAATGCTAAGACATTAAGTAAAAACTGAAATGAAACCCTTTGGTTCTCTCAGAATGTGCCCAACTCTGAATCTCTGTGAAAAGCAAAAAAAAAAAAGTTAAGATGTAAATGGATAATTGGCTTGTGTTTTCTCACCCTATAAGGACGCTACCATTTTGCAGAGGAATTCTGACGATAAAATGACTTAATCCCCCTTGGCACCGTGGAAGGAACACTTAATGGCACGTCCCTCCCTGGCCAAGGTCACATACTAGACATTAGATCAGCTGCAAACCCTCCCCGCCGGGCTCCTTTCAGGTCATTTCAGGAGATGAGCAGGGCACTGGGCGTGGGTGAGGTGGCCTGCCCTCCTGCCCACTTCCCCTCCTCACCTTCCATCTGCCCTGTAGCTCCCACTGTGCCCGGGCCCAGTGGGCCTGGAGAGGGACTTGATCGGCAGCCCTCACCACCCTGTCTGGAGAGCCTCTGCCCAAGCAGTGGCCGTGCAGCTCCTGGCTTGGGCCTGGCGGTGGCCCTGGGTCTCTGCCAGGATCCTTGTGTTAACAGTTTGCTTGCTAGCTCTGCCTTTCACCCCAGTCTTCCTTTAGGCACCGGGGTTTGTGTTTTAGTTTTTCTCTCCTCTCTGGATCAGATTCCTGCTTTCTGTGTTCTTAGCCACTGGCAAGGTGAAGGACCATAGCTCAGCACCCCCTGTGTGTGTATCAGATGCTCGCCTCCTGTGCCTATGGGTGTGGCTGTCCCCAGGCTGACACCTGCTGCAGC